AATTTTGGGTTATATAAAAAAATACTTATTATGTGATTGGTGACCCTTAGCCGCATTAGCCAGCCGACAGCTTTATATTGGCTGGCTTAACTGCCTAAGCCGGCTTAGCCGTGGCTGCTTCAGCCGGCTTAAAACACTAGTTACACTATGATCGTTGCACCAGGTTGGCGGATCATCAATTAATTATTTTGCTTGGAAAAAAATTTTTTTTTTTTAATGTTAAAGGTGAGACCATGCCTATTAATTATTTTTTATATCTAATGCCCATCATAATTTACTATGAAATGTCAATTAACTAATAAAATTTTCAAGAATATTTGTTCATGTATAATATTAATTTTTTTGATTGGTTTGTTTGGTTGATGATCATGTTTTGATCGACGTAGTTGCTGACTCGGGGTAGCCAATCATTTGACTGTCCCTGCAAACGTGGTTATAAAACTGTTCTATGATTTTACCTTCTACGCGTATAAAAAAAACAAAAAAATTTAACGCGTTTAAGAGCTGTAAATAAATATAAATACCGATCATTATCCAATAAAGAATTACGAGATGCGACTAAGGAATTCTCCCAAAATAATGGAATTAGAAAAACAAGGTATTTGTGACTGCAGGTAAGCAAATTCTCTCTGTAGCCAAGTGTCAGTGTAATTTTTATTTCATTCTGTTTATGCTTATCGTTTACAAAAAAAACTTACGGCTTCGCTTTAGTGATGCTGATGCTATGACAGATACATCTACTATAGTATCTGATGGTAAACCCTCTAACAAAGAACAGATCGAGATTGAAACCACAGAGTGCTCTACTCAAAAAGGTAAAAATTATACATGGGTTAAATAATTTAATCATATTAATAATCATTGGGTCCGTTTGTTATTCATAGCATTTTTGACGTCAAAAGTTCTGGTAAGTGTCATTGCAATAAAAACATTACACGTTGGTTACACCATAATTGAATATGGTATCTTTGTAAAGTATCTGATGGTAAATCCTTTGACGAAGAACAGATCGAAATTGAAACCACGGAATGCTCTTCTGCTCAAGGTAAAAAATTATACATGGGTTGAATAATTTAATCATATTAATAATCATTATGTCCATTTGTTATTCATAGAATCAGTGACACTAAAAGATCCGGTAAGGTATCATTGCAATAAAAATGTTCCACATTGATTATATCATAATTGAATACGTATCTTTGTAAAAATTCAATGAAGATCGACGTACCAGACTGGTTAAATAGTGTAGTTGAACCGACAAGGTAAATTCTAGAAAGGTATATATATTTTTTAGAAGAAATGAATTTATAATGATGTTAATCTATCTTGATGATTTATTAGATCAACTTCAAGTCAAAGTGATAAGGGACGTGATATAATTAGACCGCCAATTCCTCCCAACGAGGATAGTTCCGAACAACCACCTCAAGAAATAGCAGATAGATTACGTCAAAGATTTAAACGACGTAAATGGATGGATTCAGAGCTTAAAGCTTTAGAAAAAGGTATGAAAAAATATACCGAAGAGAGATTAATATGGGTTCATATTCTTAATGATGAGACATATGGACCCACATTAAAGGATAGATCACCAACAGACTTAAAGGATAAAGCTCGTAATGAGAAGAAAAAACGAACCAGAGAAGGAAGATCTATTGGCATTTTTCAGATTGCGTCAGGCTAATACAATGGTAACTGATTTATGTTAAGGACACTGATTTTAATTAAATAGGACTTATCTAACTTGTTCTAACTTGCAATTGGATCTATATTTTAAAGAGTTTTTTTTTTAAGTTTCCTGAATTCTGAATTTTGAGTACCACGTAGAATATATTATTGAATATTGTTTACGCATGTATTAATTCAGGAAATAAAAATAATTCTCATTTAATCATAAATTTCAATTGTACGTATGTAGGGATTGGAACCGTTTAAAAATTGCACTATAGTTCCGGGCAGAATTATGTTGGTCGTGGGCCAAAATTATTTTAATGCCGGCCAAATTAAACGATTAAACGATTAATAAATTTTTTGGGCGGTTCCAATCCCTATATGTATGTCTGGATATGTATCTCACGCAGGATGATATTATACATATTCTGCGCGAGACAATCATTCGATTGGGAAATTAATACATCCTAAAATGAATTCTTATCACATGACTCGCGACGAGATACGTATGCAAAATTTTTGGTGTTCGCACTATAGCCAATCAAAAACAGCATTTTTTTTTTTATGCTTTGACGAACTTTTTCTTGTTTACAATATGCCCAATTATGTTGTCACTACCAAAGCCTACTTAAAAATAATTCTTCATGCTTGTAAACATCCGTTCACTAGTGTAAATGGAATTCTTTTGGCCGAAGAAACTTTTGAAGACGATAGTAGTGATGTTAAAATAATAATTGTCGATGTTGTTCCTTTATTTCATCATTGGGCTACTTTAACACCGATGTTGGAAGTTGGTTTACAACAGGTAGAATTTGAATCAAAATAATAAATATAATGAAATAATATCATGAAGTTCAAAGTGTTTTTTTATTCTGAATGATTTTCAAAGGTCTCCGTTTACGCTAATAGAAATCAACTTAAAATGGCCGGTTATTACCATGCTAACGAAAGAGCTGACGAAAATAAATTGCCACCTTTTGGCCAAAAAATTGCATCAAAAATTCAAGACAATTTTCATAATTCAATTGCTCTCGTGGTAAGTATTAATGATTCATTTTTATTCATTATAAATTTTAATTAACTATTATATTTTAGGTTCAGAATACAAAATTATCACCTAACAATCCAGAGATCGCAATTGTGGTAAGGGCTTCACTATTTTGTATGCGTCGTCTCAGTCGATTTCTAACTAACTTGAAAAAATATTTTTAGCCCTATATTTTTAAAGATAATCAATGGCGTCTTGATAATAAAGCATTTTCAGGTTCTCTATCACCCTTCACTCTTGAAAACCCAAATGTACCAAGCATAACATCTCAATCAATTTCCAAAAGGGATTTTGAAGTTATATATGATTTTGATGAACATCTAGAAAATGTAGAATTAGATTGGTTGGAAAATTCCAAATTAGCTGAATTGATACATGGAGACAAAAAAAGAGCATAATTTTCGAAAATCGTCAAAAACAATTATGTATCAAAGATCGAAGAAATATTTATCTAATAAAAAGGATTAAATTTTATTTCTCATTCCATTGGTGTTGACAATCATGGTTACAACATTTATAAAAAATTGACATAGGTTCATCTGCTGAACGTGTTTGTATTTGCATAAAGTAAGCACGCGGGTGTTCGCACTTTGGACATCTCGCTATCAAAGTAAATTACAAGCATTAATACACATGATAATGAAGTTCAAAAAAAAAAGTTAAAATATTACCTTCGGTTGAATCGACATTTTTCCAACCCTCCTCTCCACCTAAAACATCGTCAACTTCTTTACGCTTCAGGGTCGTTCGATTTTTATACTGCCAAAAACCTTAGTTTACTATAGCATTTATTTATGCCTTTCAAACTTTAATCATGTTTAATCCTGACTTACAAGAGATTTGCCACCTCTACCTCCAATTGGAAATATATAAGGGCATGTTTGGCAGTAAAATGCTTGTTCTCCTTGCATAAGAGTTTTTATTAAAAGTAAGTTTCCGCAACAAGGACAGAATAACATTTTTAAGAATCGAAGTATATGGAATTTCTATTGGACAATACATATTAATAGTATCAGACTGCGCCAGATCAGAAAATCTTATTATCTGTTATCCAAATTTATATTATATATTATAGTATACGCGATTTATTAAATTATGGAACTTCGTGACCTATCATTTCGTCCTAGAATAGCTGATGCTTTGAATTGTTGTACGCGTTATTTTTTACGTACATTCGTTTCTTTCTTTAAAGTTACAATTTTTGTTAATATCTACCCTTTGTTTAGCGACTTTCGAAACTATCGCTGATGTATTATCTCGCAACGAGGAACAACTCTGCGGAACGCTGAAAATATCTGCGAAAGATGCTGCAGAACTGGTACAAGCCTGTGTACAGGTGATAACCTGTTCTTTATACCCGCCTAAAACCGCGCTGCAACTATTGAAAGATGCTACTCATTGCATGTTGAGTACAGGTGATGCTGAAATTGATAAAGTTCTTGGTGGCGGCATCTTGTCGCATGGAATCACCGAGATAGTAGGCGAGAGGTAATTATCATTAAGGTGTCATGAGAAACAATAGGCTAATTTTTCTATTATTATTATTATCATTATTATTATTATTATTATTATTATTATTTGTATATAGCGGAACGGGCAAGACACAATTATGTCTACAATTTTGTTTAACAGTTCAATTTCCAAAGGAATTGGGTGGGTTGGACGGAGGTTGGTCGATAACATTATACATATTACACATTTCAGTTTCATACATTTCTTAGGTTTTATTTAACATGATAATATTTATTGGTTATTCATATAGGAGCAGTATATATCTCTACAAATGGCATGTTTCAATCGAAACGATTTAATCAATTAACAAATTCAATTAAACAGCACTATTCCTGTATGAGAAACAAAGATTTAACCGATAATGTTCATTGCGTGACGGTATATAATTTCGAAGCACTACGAAACATTGTTTATTACCAACTACCTGTCCTACTTTCACGCAATAATATTCGATTGGTGATAATTGACACCATAACAGCTGTTATTCAAGATGCTTTTAAAGATTTTCGGAAGCGCGCTACTGAACTCTTTTGTCTGGGTGCTAAACTTAAAGAAATAAGTGATAAATTTAATACGGCTGTTATATGCATAAATCAAGTTGCTTCGGATGCTTTGTCTAAAGAGGGCTTCTATGAAACTCTTGATTGTGATGACAAAGAATGTTGGAATTATGCACAATATTATAAACAAACGCTATTACTTGGAGATGGAACGAAAGTACCTGCTTTAGGTTTATCATGGTCTAGCATAATTAACACAAGAATATCGTTATCTAGACCTCTTAGAACATTAAAAGAAACAATTTGCACTATGACCAAAGATCCAAGAGTAATTACTGTGATTATGGCCCCGCATGCACCGAAGCGTGCAGGACAATTTTACATTGAGAATGATGGTTTGCATGGAGTTGTATGTAATAGTAAGAATGATATTTAAGATTTTTTCCATATTAAATTATAGATGCCTTCGGCAGTTTTATTCAAATTTTACTGTATAAAGTAAAATTATTTGTGTGCTGTAATGAAAAAAACTTTTTTATATAAGGCCATATAAATAAAATTATTCGTTTCTCATCACTACGTATAAATAGTAAAAAATGACCCGGCCGCCCGGGAAATAAATTTATTTTTTAAAAAAAATTAGCCTTTTCTAAAGACTTTTACTAAAATGCACCTATGGTGTTTTACACCATAGGTCCCATTTCTCAAAAACGTACTAAGTAAACAGGATCGGGTCCTCTAAGTAAAAATGGTCAGGGCCCCCAAAAACCTCACGAGAACTGAGATCGGGCCCTATCGGGCCCTTATATTAGCTCTATATTTACAGGTACGAAAAACATTGCACGCTTCTAGGGTTTGGGTGGGGCTGGCTAAACAGGAAGCCAGGAAATAATTTATTATTTAATTTATAGATATTGTGCTGATACATGTGTGAAGTAATAGGCACTGAAGCAGCAAACATCCCGAAATTAGCAATGATAATTGCGCGGGAGATGCCGAAGCAGACCAGGTGGAGAATAGATAGGCATTATTAATGTGAATATCAGCCGGTGGTTTCCCGCCTACAGAAGCAAGCCGGCTGTTAAATGGCAGAATCATGAGCATGTTCTTTCTATTGTCTTGCTTCAGGGGAGGTGGGTGGGGCAAGATTTTTTGACGATGCTTGCTTTACTTGTGGAGAGAGAGAGAGAGAAAACGTGAGGTCGTATTTATATACCTTACTGGCGGCATGTGAATCATGCCTCGGGTATCAGGGCTCGTATTCTTGCGGGACTTTTGTCCAATGGGCCGTGTTGTGCCAGCATGAAAAAATTCTGTGCCAGGTTTTGTCGATCATGTGGCACAGCAAAATCCTTTAAAGTTCGATTATATTAGGGTTAGGGTATCAGATAAAGAGTTTATATAGTAAAACTGCCCAACGAAAACTTTTTGTTAGTGCACTAAAGGCGGTTTCTTATGCAAAATTTCAAGAAATAAGCGATTTTTAACAAAACGAACGTTTGTTTTGAAATTTTCTGATTGTGTTACGTTACACCTGATCTTTAAAATCTGATTTGTGAATCAGGAGATCTGCGCCACATGATCAACAAAACCTGGCACAGAATTTTTGTATGCGTTGTGCCATAGCATTATTGTGTGACACCCCTTGGATGGCTGGTGCATTGGTGCCGGCTCTCTGATACCTGGTGCCCCCGTCGATCTTGGTTCGGGTGATTAGTGTTGGGGCCTTGGTTGTGTAATGGCGCTTTGCTTATTTTTCGAATAGTTAACCTTTTTAGGTTAACTTATAGGAACGTCCCAAATAAGGAAAACCTTGGTTGACTCAGGACTAACGATCATGCGTATTGGTTAGCCAATCAAAATTGTGAATTTATGAATATACTGATACGTATATTAATATATTAAATCATCGATTTCTTTTTTTTTTGCCTATTTCTTTAACATTCTAAAACTTATTGTAACAAAAAAAATATATATACATTTTAATAAAAGAATACGCAAAGTTTCTTATATTTTTACTTTGAAATTTCATAATTTTTTTAATAAACAAATTAGTTATATAATAATTCTTATAAGATCGAATTTGGTACAACTTTTAAAATTTCTTGCTTATTATACAATTATAAATTTTATCGGGCTAGAAAAAAAACAAAATTAAATATTGCACAATCATGTTCTTTATGATATGATGAATTTGCAAATTATATTCCTACAAAAGATGCTAAATCAAAATATGTTACAAAATTATGAATTTACAATTTTTATTTCTGCAAAAAAAAAATGTTAAAGAAATCGGCAATTAGAATCAATTTATTTTTTTTTGATCTTTTACTATAAATATTTCATATACAATTTATTATTTAATAAAAATATTTAATAAAAATATGTAATTTATTTATTTAAAATGTATTATTTATTTAAAAAATATATATTTAATAAAAAAAAATCTACATTATAATTCAAAAAAGTTTTTTTTTGCTTGATCTAACAAATTATCCATTGCTACAATATCACCTGTCGCATCTTCAGCATCAGAATCATCTTCGTCTACACTTTCATCCATAAATTTCTTTTTGCCTAAATCTTTCATCATACTTACTTTTATTGCTTCAACATTACTTTTGATTGCATTCTGTAAATAGCCTAAATATATTAAACATTTAAAGTTATATTTTTGTAAGCAACAGCTATAATATCCGCACCTACACGCAAGAACATTACTATCATTTGAATAGTTAGTATAGTTAGTACAAATAATCATATAAATGGTTTCTTGGAGGTAACGAAGCCTTTTAGAAGATGGCAATCAGTTATTTCATAATCTAATGATGGCAGCTTATAAGAATTAATATCATCATCATCAGAATTAATAATTAAAGGATATAGATGATGCACTTTATAGATCTTGGTAAAAAGTTCTAAAAGCAACACAGTACACTTTCGGGATAGCATATGCAACTGTTTCGGCTTATACAGATACTTCATGAAATTCACAAAATATTGACAGAAGGTATTATCTTCCCAATACTAAAATATAAAATGTGCCTCCTTCTGCAATTGACTTGCTGTGAAAAACTTAGCTATATGTCGTCAAATGATGCTATAGGCAGTTTCTACAGGACAATCACTTAGAGATGCGAGATGATTAGTAACTAGATTCATCATTGGGTGATTAGTATCTATCTAAAAAAAAATGTCAGAAAAAAACATCAAAGGAGAACACTTATAATTTCTTCGATCAAATTGAAGAAATAAATCACACCAACAATGCATACAAACTTCTTTGTATGCCTGCCAGTTTTTTTCTCGATGGTAAGCCACATAAACGTCAAGAACTAAAGGAATTAAGTTATCTAAAAGATCAGTTAGATATAAAAATTCCAAATTTTTGCAAGTGTAGCCAAATTTTGAATAAACAACATTAGATATATCAAGCCATGCAACACACATAAGATAAAAAATTAAATCGATTCTCCAAGGGTGAGGTTTTTGACCAAGCTTCTTTTTTTTACCAAAAATTCCTTTATAAATATCGTTAAAAAGAGGTGAATTTTTCTTAAAAACGAGTTCACAACTATTCAAAGACACGTGGAGAAAGCCTATAATAGGCACAAATAATGCAATGAATTGTGGAATGACTTCATTGTTGAGAAAAAGCTGATGTACAATGGCCTTACAAATAAAAAATTGACCAGGCCAATTCGCAATGACAGGAATTATGTGGTTGGAAAGGTACTCTTGCATTAATTCTTGATTATATACAACTCGAAGTATATTCATATAATCATCTACACTTTTCAAATTGCCTTCGACGAAATTAAAAAGAATAGCATTCTGAATATGCCGATCATCTTTTTTTCTACTAATCTATCATTATAACTGTACAATATTAGTCTCTCTATAACTTCATCATTAGTGCACTTACCTGTACAGCCCAGGCTACGCTT